TCCTGCCCAACAGCTGATAGATTCAAACCACCAAACTTCTGGTTACCAGCCAAACACTTAATCACTGCACCACTGGAGTTCAGACTAGACTGACAATCCCACTGCTCACGAACATTTCCCGAAGGGCTCTTCTAGAGGATTCTCACCCCCACCCCCGTCCCCACAAGTCCCACTGCAAACCAACTCTGTGGATCTTTGCTGAAGGACAGAGTGCTTGTCTAGGTAGACTAGAGAAACAAATTCATGGACACTCATATGTGTAACATGAAAGAGCTTTATATATAAAAGCAATTGAATATTGAGAAAACATCCCAGCCCAGCCCAGATCAAGTCCATAAGTCAGATATTAGCCCATACTTCTGATACCAATCTGTAAAGTCCTCTTCAGGACTGCAACACATGTAATGATGCCAAATACAGAAAGACCACAGGCCGGTGGGTTCAAAGTCTTGTGGATCCAGTGGCAGTAGAAGCATCTCCGCGCTGGCAGAGGTCTCCACCTGGCTCCTCCAGCTCCCATGGCCCGGCCTCTATCAACGTTAGTGTCTTGTCAGTAAAGCGTCTCTCGGGAAGTGAATCTGTCTCTTGCCTTCGCCGAGCTGTTTATCTCCTTTGCACCTCCAAATGAAGTCATCAAGCTGCGACCTGATTGACAGACTAAACACCCTTTCACTCTTTTTTTTTTTCTGGAATCATTTTGTTGGGGGCTCTCACAACTCTTATCACAATCCATACATCCATCACGTCAAGCACATTTTTACATTTGTTGCCATCATCACTCTCAAAACATTTTCTTACTACTTGAGCCCTTGGCCCTTCGCTCTTAAGACTCAAATTGGCAATAGATGGTGTAGCTACCACAGACCGGGAAGCTAAACCCCTAACACGCAAACCCGCTGCTGCCCAGTCCACCCCAACTCACAGGCACTCCGTGTGTTCCAGAGTCCAGTGATTCCAGAGGCTGTCGGCTTTATGGAAGCAGATGGCCAGACCTTTCTTCCATGGAGCCACTGAATGATTTTGAACTCCTGACATTCAATTAGGAGCTCAATGCCAGTGATTTGCATTAGCCAGGGACCTCGGCACCGGGAACATGCCCGGAGATGCCGATGTGAGAACCTCTGGCCCAGCTCTTCCCAGTCCCCCGCAGGTGCCCCGGTGCCTGCCACTGGCGTAGGTTACATGATTCACACACGTTTGTTGACTAGATGGATGATGAGATGATTGAATGACTACATGGATGAAGACAGACTCGCCTCCTTCTCGGCTGTTTCTATAGTTATCCTTCATGAGGAACAGAGGAGAAAAGGTCTGGAATTCTATTTAAGAATACTAGGGCGAAGCTGTCCTGTAGAGAGGTCGGGAGTGACGGGGATGTTCTAGACTCGGCATCTTCTAAGACAGTAGCCAGGAGCCACCTGTGGCTACCAAGCCCTTACAATGTGCCTTGTGCAGCTCAGGGCCTGGCTTCTTCACTGTATTTCAGGTGAATTCAGGTTGCATTCCAATGGCCGCCTTAGCTGGTGGTGTCACGTTGGAGAGCAGAGACATGGCGTTTGGTTTCTACAAACCACAGAGACCTCGACGTCGCTCTGACAGCACCCCATTTTCCTATCAGGTCAGCCCCTCTCCCACCCTTGCTCCTGCAGCCTCAGGGGGGCTGCTGATGAAGGTGACCTCCACCACCTTTACATCAGGCAGACGTGCCTCTGGGGGTTGCCTGCCCTCGAACGACAAAAGGCTAGAGAGTGCGTTGGAACAGATCGATGACAATGGTCAGTTCCTAAGAAACGATGTGTTTGCTTCCGGAACTTTCAGTCCAGAGTGTGACAATAACAACAATAGACGAGGCAACGACACGATGAGACAGACATCATTACCATCACCCTCCTTGTCATCAAGCCCCTACATTGAGACATCCTGTTCTCGGTGCTCGCGTTGTCATGTCTTCCTCTGTGAAGTGAAAAGTAAGCATGCCCTGAAGTAGAAGGCCAAGAAGACCCTTGACAAGGTGGGTTGACACAGTAGCTGCCACAAAGATCTGAAACATAAGGACAAGGGTGAGGACGGTCCAGGAGCAGCCCGGCCTCATGCTGTTGCACATGGGGTGGCTTCTGAGTCAGAACCAACCAGATGGCATCTAAGAGCAGCAACCTCTGGACCAGAGGTTCTGTGAACAAAACAGAGGGGAGACTGGGCTTGGAAGTGTTGGGCCAATAGGCGTTGCGGAAGCGTCGATCTGAGGTGGGGTTCTCTGAGGAGAAAGCCATAGAACAGCTTGAGGAAGAACCCGAGAAGTGGCTTCAGCTTCTAAGCTGGACAACACCAAGCAAGGCACTGGGCTTCCCTTCCCCTCTGGGATTGCAGTTAACATAAGACTGAGTTAGACACATGCCTTTCCAGCTCCCACATTTTCTGATCTCTCTGTGTACCTCTATTCCTGACACCTAGTCCCTCCCACCAAACAAGAACTCACAGACAAACCCTCACCGCCATCCAATTGACTGGGACTCAGTGACCCTTGGGAGAGAGTAGAACCACTTCTGTGGGTTTCAGAGACTGTCACTTTGACAGGAGTGAAAGCCTCATCTTGCTGCCAGCACATAGAAGGCGCTCCATAAATACTCTCGGGTTGAAAGCTAGGATAAATGCCCCCAAAATCTATTTAATTATTTTTTCACTTTAGAAATTCAGGGCATTGACAATTTAATGCTACATAACACATTGCCTCAAAACTTACTGCCTTCACACCACAGTGATCATTTATTATCTCGAGATTTCTGTGGGAGAGAACCTTAGGGCACAGCGGGACTTGCTAGTTGGAGTGCTCTATGTCTGGGAGCTCAGAGGGAAGGAAGCAGCTGAGTGACATGGCAGGGTAGAAGCTGGCCTAGGAAGGTCCCAGGGTAGAAGCTGGCCTAGGAAGGTCCCAGTTTCAGCTCTGCCACCCACAGGGGAATCTTGGGCAGTCATTTCCCAAGGCTTAGTTTTGCCCTCTATGTGATAAAAGGGCTGTAAATGTGGACCCTTCCCTTTGTACATGTGTGGAGTCTTACTTCCGTGTGTCTAAGAATGTGCCTAGTCACTAACTTTCTCAGAGTCCATGGAACCTTGTCATTGGTCACCCTTGGTTTCTCGCTCTGAGGCACAGACGCTGTTAATGGAGCTCAGGGGACCCCGGAGGATCAGAACCAGGGACAACTTTAAGGGACATATGGGAAGCCACTCGCAGGCCTCCTCTGGCCTGGTCCTGAGAGAAGCAGATGGCGGGAAAGACAGTGACCACAGACCTCAGGCATCTAGTCTGCAGGCTGGGGCCAGGGATCCTCCTTCACTGGCTCCTGCCCCACAGGAAACTCCTATTGTCACTGACTCCTGACTCCAGGTGGGAGGGAGCAAGCAGAGAAGTTTGAAGAGAGTGCTCCATGCACAGACACACACACACACACACACACACACACACACACACACACACGGCTGTCCATTTTTAGTGAAATTCCAGGTTTCGGCTCAGAGCAGCAAGAGTATCTTGCTGCCCTGAGTATCCTCAGGCTAGGGAGCGTGTACAATTAGTTGTACTTTTTTGTCTAACTCTAAGTTCCACAGGAACCCTGGTGGTGTAGTGTTATGCTTTAGGCTGCTAATAGATGGAGCATTCTATTACCATAAAGAGTTACCAAACTCACGGGGGCAGCTCTACTCTGTCCTATAGCCACCCTGCGTCATAATTACCTCGATGGCAGTGAGTTTTTCTAGGTTCCACGCCTCCAGAGCACAGCATCCCTCTGGCCCCGTCCACGGCGGCTGCGGGGTTCTTAGAGCTGGGGGGGTTGGGGTAGCGGGTGGTCACTGGTGTGAACCAACGGGTGTAGAGCATCCAGGTGAAATGGGATAACTTTAACCTTCAGATTTACCCTCCTCCAACCCCCCGCCTGAAGGGACACTCCAGATGCAGAAACTTCGCGTTTATGCAGGGCAAGCAACTCAACTGACAGATGGGTACACCCAGTCATGTTTCTAAAAGCAACCCGCTGCGCCCAGCGAAGCAAAGAAATTGAGGCCGGTCTAGCGCCTGACGGCTCTCACTTCCACACTGAGGGGCCCTGGTAGGCACCCCTTTAGCAAGTCCCTGCCAGTGCGGGACCTCGGCGGGGTGTGCGCCCCTCTGGCACGTGTCCATCGGTATCCCAAGAGCGAGTTGAGGAGGGAGCTGAGGCCGCCGCATCCTAGAGATCCCTTGGGCGGGAGGATAGCTGCGGGAGGGAAGGTGCTGTCCCTTTAAGGGGGGGACCAGGCGCATGCGCGACGCGGGCCGGAGTCGCCCCGGGTGGGCGGTGAGCGGGCTGGGGACACCGCCGGCTGCAAGGCCCCGGGGGCCAGCGAGGGCGACGGCGACCCGCGAGTCACCGAGTCCGGGACCGCGACCTGCGAGTCACCGAGTCCGGGACCGCGACCTGCGAGTGAGCTCTGCGCTCTCCGGAGAAGCGTAGCCCGCGCTCTCCAGGCTTTGTCCCCTGGCCTCCGCTGCATCGTCCCGGCTGGCCCTGCTCCCCCGCGGCGCCTCCTCCGCCCCTGGGCCGGGCCGCGAGAGCATCCTTCGGCCGTGCCGCCGCCCATGCTACAGCCGGTCCGGGGCGGCGTCCCCGCGGCCAGAGCCCGCCGCTCGGTGACCTCAGCCTGGTCGCCGCGCGCCGCCTGGACCGCGCCCGCTGAGCCCCGGGGCCCCGGGCGGGACGCGCGCCCCGCGATGGCCCGACCGTCGGGACGCGGCGCCGGGTGCGCGAGGTCCACACTCTGAGAGGCGCGCCCAGCCTGGCCTCCCCGCCCCACCCTTGGCCCTGCGGGGCGCTCCGCTGCTGCTGGGGGGCCGGGGGCCGAGACAAAGGCACTTTGTGCGCGGAGCTGGCCGGGGCGGGGAATGTGCGCGTCGGCGCGCGCCGCTCCCCGCGCCCCTGCAGCCCCCAGCCTCGGCTCGGGACTCGTCGCTGTCCAGAAATCGCCGCCCGCGCCGCCCTCCAGCCCGGGGGCCGCGCCTCGGAACTGACACCCGGGTCCCTCGGCGGCGCGCGCGGGTGTGACCGCTTGTGTGTTTAACAGCGGACACTCTCCAGGGACCCGGGGCGCCCGCGCCTGGACCCTTCCTCCTTGTGGCGGCGGGCCAAGACGGCCTGGCCTCAGTTTCCCTTGACTTTTCTCCTCTCAGTCCTCCGGGACTCCTGCCAGTCATTGTTCTCGCTGCAAACGGGAGTGCTCCGCGAACCTGCCAAGTCGGGGTGTGCTCTCGTTATTCCACGTTCCAAACGGAGCCAGGCCTCTCGGTCTAACCCCGGACCCCCGGCCCTCTGCCCCCCCCCCCACTTCAAGACCAGCACCGCTTTCCATCCTTTCCAGTGGTGTTTTATTGTACGCGAGCCACGCCCTGGTTTCTTAAAGGCGCCTCGCACTCTGTTTGGCCACGTGTTGTTGCTGCAGCCGGGTCGGGACCGCCTTTTGTGAATCCCCTGCCTTCCCCTCCCATCTCCGCCAAGGACTTGGGGATGCCTGTGGGGAAGAAGGTAGTCGGGACCGGCAGCGGCGGGGCTGCCCCCACTGCCGCTGCTGCTGCCGCCTCCACCGGGATCCGGCGTTTGGCGACCAGCGAAGAGGCCTCGGCCCAGAGAGATGAGCCCGAAGATGAAGGGGAGGAGGACCTTCGAGATGGAGGTGTCCCCTTCTTTGTCAACCGGGGAGGGCTACCTGTGGACGAGGCCACCTGGGAAAGGATGTGGAAGCACGTGGCCAAGATCCACCCCGATGGAGAGAAAGTGGCGCAGCGGATCCGCGGAGCCACCGACCTGCCCAAGGTGAGGGGTGTCTGTGGTGTGTTGGGGGGGTGGGGGGGGGAAGCAGGCGCCAGAGTTTTACTGACCTTTGTCCCTGGGAGAGTGAAGCCATGTTTCCCCCACACGCGGGGGAATGGGCCAAGGACGTGTGGTGAGATTTAAAATAGACAGCGGGGCGGGTCATTGAAGAACTTTCTCCCAACTCCGAGCTTTGGGAGTCTTCTCGTGTACTTTACAGGCACGATCTCCTAAAGCCCACCATTAAAGACCCATGTGGTGTGGACGGGACAGCAGATTAAGGAACACCCTCGGATGGCTTGTCATCTGATTTGCGGAATGACCCTGCAAAGCCAGAGAACTGGTGGGGTGAGGGCGGGAATGGGGGTGGTGGGGTGAGTTAGATGGGCACTTCTCCCAGAGGAACCATCCGCCAAGATGTTCAGCCTTGGAACACCTAGGGTGCAGCGCTGCTCTGCCTTACAGGGTTGGTGTGTGTCAGAACTGACACAAGGGCTCAGTGACAAGACAAAACAAAATCACACAAACTCACTGCCATCGAGTCAATTCCAACTCATAGCGACCCTATAGGACAGGGTGGAATTGCCCCTGTGGGTTTCTAAAGCTGCAGCTTTTTAGGGGATCATGCCTTGGGACCAACCTCAACCCCAACCCCACCCCGTGGGTTTCAGAGACTGCAACTGTTTACAAGAGTAGAAATCTCCCTCTTTGTCCCTCAGAGATGCTGGTGGTTTAGAACTGACAGCCACGAGGATCACAGTTCAATGTGTAACCACTATACCATCAGGGCACCTTATAGGAGTAGAAAGCCTCCTTTTTCTCCCACTGATCTGCTGGTGGATTTGAACTGCTGACCTTGAGGAGAGCAGCCAGATGCCTAATGCACTTAAAAGGGGATGCATGCTTCCGACATTGAGCAAATAGCCACACGTTATCTCATTGGATCCTCCCATCAGCCTTGTGGAGTGAGTGCAGTTTGGGTGCCCATTTTGCAGATGTGAAAGATGAGAACTTGGACAGGGACTCAAAATCACCTAGTATGTAAGCGCCCGAGCTGGGAGGCCATCCCAGGCCTCCTGGCTCCAGCCGTTCTGCTCTGCTGGCCTCAGGGCAGTGAGGCCAGGGGTCCAGTGTTCCTGTGTGCCCTGGACCTCCTTGGCGCCCGCCATCCATCTGCTGTGTGGCCCCCAAAGACCGAGCCACATTCCTCTTTGTCTCCCCACAGCCTCCTGTGTGCCTGGCACAGAAGAGGCTCTTGTGTGTGCTGGCCCCATGAAAGGGAGTTTGAGACTTTCTGGGCTGTACGAGGTCATCTGCAAGGATGCGCTTAACACTTTGGAAAGACCTCCCAGTTTAAGCTAGAGTGACCTTCTCCTGAAGGCAGAGGGCTGAAATCTCCAATGTGTGGTCCTTTCCACAGTAGTCCCTGAAATTCTGCCTACAAGGAAGGTGGGGTGGAGGAGGGAGGGGTGGCCGACGCAGATCCCAACCAGGGGACAAATATCCTGTCCTGTTCTGTGTGGAGCAAGTGGCCAGGAGAGCCATCAGAAAACACCTTCTGGGAAAGGGGCATTCACAGGTTGAAGGTGGAGCCCCCGCCTAATATTTCCAGGGGAAACGCAATGTGGCTTGGCTTCGGATGGCTGCACTGTCACCCCTGAGAGCGACTCCTCCTTTATTTAGTGAATCCTCCGAGGTTGGACACTGTTTGCAGTATTCTATGCTTACAGTGAAGACTGTGGTAAACCGCACACACAAAGGTTGGGGTCCAGTGGGTTCTTCCCTGGAGATCAACTCCTGGAAGAGGAAGTCTTGTGGACAAAGGATTCGAACCCAAGTACCGTGCCCTTGCCTGCCCATAAACCTCCCGGAGCCACAGGTTTCTCGTCTGCAAGATGAGCTCGATCGTGGTGAAGGTTAAATGAAAGACCCCAGGGTCGAAGTGTTTGACAAACTGTAAAACCTCAACCAGTTCTTGCTATCCAACATTTTAGACCTTCCCTCGGGTCCTTCTCAGGAGAAGAGGGGCGCTGTCACTCAAGTCACCGAAGCCTGTGTCCCAGGAGGGCCAGTTGGGGTGGAGCAGAGGGCTGGGAAAGGTGCTTCAGCCATCTGAAAAACAACACCCCAAACCCACTGCCTTCTAGTGGATTCCAACGCCATGACCCCATCAGACGGAGCAAAATCACCTGTAAGGTTTCCCAGGCTGTGGTCAGTGCAGAACAGACAACTGCATACATTGTCCTCTCGAGGAATGGCTGGTAGATGCGACCTGCCTGCCTTTCAGTCAGCAGCCAGACACTTAACCACCGCACCACCTGGGCTCCTTTCAGGCAGCGTGTTTAAGTCAACGTCCGGCCAGAGGAGGGTGTATGTGGTGCTCAAAGCCACCACCCCTGCCAAGGACTGAACGGCCAACAAGTTCAGGAAGGGCTGGTCTGTAAGGTCATGCCCCAGCCTTTGGTCCTTGGGAATAGGAATGCCAATGCAGCAATAAGCAGCGATTGTCTGGGCACAGGGTGGTGGGGTTGTGACTGGCTAGCTAGTAGATGGCAGGTGGGAGGAATTTTGTGAGAGGTTTAGAAAAGTCCTCAAACCCCCTCTCCCCCAGTGTGGTGGTGGGGATGGGATTGTGAGCACCCTGTTAGCAAGAGTGGACTGGCCACTGGACTCTCCCTTTCCTACGTGGCCTATGCTGAATCCCACCCAGCTGTCCCAAAGATATGTTTTGTTGGGATCGTTTCAAAAGACCATTTGAGCCCAAGTTTAAAATCGGAAGTTCTCCTGGAAAGGTCCAGATTGCTGGCATCTTGGCTGAAAAGGAGGTCTGGGAACAGGGAATCTGGGGTCCCACATGGCAGCCATCACTGGGGCTGAGAAGTATTCTCCACTGCCCTGGTCCTCCTACCGCCCCTCCCCTCTGCCGGTTACCACCACCCCCACCACTCATTCCCAGCCTGCGCAGCTCCTGCAGGGAGGGGGCCTGGAAGCCCTTGAATAGCAGTGTGAGAAAAGGAGGGGAGGGGGAGCTGGGGCCAAACTCACTGTGCTCACTTAACTCTGTGAACCAGGCACGAAGCCTCCGTGTGCCTCAGTTTCCTTGGTTGTACAGGAGGGATCATAGAGAGGGGGGATGGAGAGAATGAGTGAGCAGGTGGAACGGATGAACTGCAAATGAAGCCAGATTGCAGCAAGCCGCGCTACTCTTTGAAGAAATGTCCTTTAAAGGCACAAACCAACCAAAAGGGAACAGCTGCTTCTAAAGGCTCCTAAACAGGAAGAGTTTCCGCCGTGGTAAATGTCTCTCCTCACGGCTTCAAGCTGCCACCACCTATTGTCAGTTGTCGTGAGTTGGCTCCGATCACGGTGACTGTACGCACAACAGAATAGAGCATCGTCAGCTCTCTGACAGCTCATGACCGTTGGTAAGCTTGAAAACATGGGTGCTGTGATGGTGAAGGTCCACTCACTGCCCCGAGGCTTACCCCGGGCCCAGCTGCTGACGGTCTTCCAGCTGTGGCTCTGGCCACCGAGCCCCAGCAGAATTCAGATTGGACTCCACCAAAAGGTCACACCGTCGGGGTCAGTCAGCCTATGCTGCCCAGTGTCTTTGGCACACATCATCCTAATAATGACACCAAACCCACTACTGTCGAGCCAATTCCCACTTGCAGCAAACCTGCGCAAGGTTTCCTAGACTCCGCCTCCACAGGAGCAGATGGCCTCCTCTTGCACTCTCGGAGCAGCTGGTGGCTCTGAACTGATGGCCTTGAGCTTAGTAGCCCAATGCTTTAACTCATAGCAGGAATTGTGCCTTGGCCGGGTGCCAGGTCCTGCTCAAAGGCTCCCGCTTCAGCATTGACTCAAGGAGGCTGGGTGTGTTATTGTGCCCATTTTACAGATGAGACATCTGAGCCTCGGAGAAATTAAGGAGCTTGACTAAGGTAACTACTGTACTGAGCAAATGGCAAAACAACAGAAACTCACTGCCATCAAGTTGAAACCAACCCTTAGCGACCCTGTAGGACAGGATAGCAGTTCAAAGGCCAACTCGTAACCTTGCACCGATGGAGATGCTGAGAGGCCGTGCTCGCCTCTGTTCATTTCTAAGCCATGCTGCTTCGTCCCCACACATGCCACTCCTCTCACCGGGCCCAGACACCTTTTTATGCTAGACCAGACCCTCCGATGAGAATGTCGTGATGGAAATTGGGACTTTCAGGAGCCCTGAGAATGTGCACAGGAGTCCTGGTGGAACATTGGAATGCTAACAGAAAAGTCAGAGGTTTGAACCCACCGCAAAGATGGGCCAGCCTGCTTCTGTGAAGATGATGATGTCGGAAACCCAATGGGCCAGGTCTGCCCTGTCCTAGAGGCCTGTAGAGTCCAAATGGGCTCCGTGTCCCTGGGCTGTGCAAATAATTAACATGCTCACCTACCAGCCAGGACGTGGAAGGTTTGCATACCCCCAGAGGCAACTCAGAAGCAAGGCCTGGTGGTCTACTGGAAAGAGCAGCCCGGAGACCCTGGCAAGCACAGCCTTGGGCAGCAAGGAAGGAACAGCACCGGGAGAGAGCTGAGAAAAAGACATCAACCCCGTCCCGGCCTCCCCACCACACACACTATACCCCACTTACTCTGCCCTTGAGCCGCCCCTAAAAATAACGCCGTAGCTGTGCCATTCATTCTGACAGACAGACAGCCACGCTCAGACAGAGGAGAGCTGCTGCTTGGGATTTCCAAGGCTTCAAATCCTCCCCAAAGCCAACAGTGCCATCTTCCTGCCATGGCACAACTGGAGGGTTTGAACTGCCGATTTTTTTCGGTTAGCCGCCCAGCCCTGAGCCCTGCGTGCCACCAGGGCACCCCTCCACCCCTGTAGCAGTCAGGAAAGACTCCCTGGCTCTGTGTCAGAGGATGGGGGCAAACTCAGGGCCCTGGGTCCCCAGGGGACAGCGCGGGTGGTTTGTGGGTGGGTGAATGAGCCCGGGCTCGCCCTGAGCTTGGAGGGAAAGGGTGAGGCGTCATCTCTGATGGGCTGAAATGAAGGACACCCTCAAAGGTCGCCAAACAGTTTCCAGCTCAGCCCAGGGGCGGGTGGCCTTTAGAACACGGTCCTCTCCCAGAGCAGGCTTTCCCAGGTCCTCATCTGCAGGAAAGGTGTTGGCAGCCCCTGCCCAGGCCTGACCCATACCTCGCTCCGGGGAAGCTTAGCCACTGGGATGCCAGCCCCCTCCTTGCGTGCCCCTTTCTGGAGGAAGGGTATACTTAAGAGTTTTTATCCGAAGCTCGTAGGGGTCGCTGGATCTCCTCTCTTGAGAAGTAGGGGTGACCCACCTGTCCAGGGTCACTTGAGAAGTGGGGGTGACCCACCTGTCCGGGGTGCCCAGCAGAGGAGGACAGGTCACTGACTGGACTGTGATGCTCTTTATAGTAAGTTGTGAAATAATTCCGTTCATTCAACTCCCTCCTGTAGGGGAGGCCAGGCCAGGCCCTGGGAGGGCTCTGGAGCCACGGACACAGGGTAGCCAGGCAGGAAGAGGAGAGACCCCCACACACACCTGTCCCTGGGCTCTGACCCTCTGGTGACCTTAAGTGGTGGCGCCAGTTCGGGAGTGGGAGTTTTGCAAAAGGGGAACTTGCTGTCTGAAGCAGAGATGTCAGCTGTTGGGAGCCCTCTGGGGCTGCAGGGGGCAGGGAGGCTGGGCCTGGCCTGCCCTGCCTAGATCAGAAGGAGGGACTCAGATGGTGAGGGAGGGAGAGAGGAAGTCCATGCAACCCCATCTCTCTGCGTCTCAGCCCCAGTGACCGTAATAAAGGGTCTGCCGCTCCCCCTTTGTCAGCGCCCCAGCCACTGGGGCCACAGGACTTTGATGGCTAGGTGGGGACCCTGGCTCAGCATGGGCACCAAGGACAGAGGTCCCCAGAGGGATGGAGCCTGCCAGGTCCTCCTTGCCCCGTGCCCAGCCCTCCCTCCTGGGACATGGCCCCTGCCCTTGAGGTGGGCACTCGGTAGCCCAGCTGGCTGGGCTCCCTGTGACCTAGGCAGCCTAGTGGGACACCCCACCCCTTGTGTGAAGAGCTGGGAGGCCACCTCACAGTGACCAAGGAGGCGCCCAGACGTCTGGGCCTTGTTCCTGGAAGTCTGCTTCTTGCCCCGAAGACTGTTCTGTAGCCTTGGATGTCTCTCTCTCCCCTCTCACGCACTCTGTAGCCGCCCCACCAGCTGAAGAGGGGAGCCTCGGGGACTAGGGAGGCAACCCTGCCCAGCTGCTGAGGGGCAGCCTTGGGGCAGGGTGGGGGGCGGTGTTGATGGCTGGACCTGACTCACTCCTGGCTGGCTCAGCAGCCCCCAGCTGTCAATTCCCAGCCATCAGGGCCACCTGCCTTCCTGACTCACCCCCTCCCTTCCCATCAGGCAGGCAGGGGCTGGAAAGTCCCGCCTCTCCTGCTATGGCTGGGAGGACTGTCCAGGACTTACTCTGGCCCGAGGTGGACCTGGCGGCAGGAGAATCCTGGGGTGTTAGGCATCGGGCTGCTAACCCCCAGGTCATTGGTTCAAACCCACCAGCTGCTCCTCAAATCGAACGGAGGCTCTCTGCACCCAGGAAGATCTGCCTACAAAGCCCCCAGGAACAGTGCTGCTCAGTCCTGTTGAGTCTAAAACCTGTCAAAGGGGCTGGGCTGGAGCCAGGAGGAGGCCCAGAAAGACCTGCCCCCAGATCGTCCCCTGTGGCCAATACCACTGCCTCAGTCCTTGGCCTGTCAGTTGGAGCGCTGAAAGACCAAAGTGTGCCGGGGACCCGGTGATGGACGGTACCATGCTGATGGGACACACTTCCTGGACGCTGACCCTCCAGGGCCCCCGGGCCCTGGGAGGCTCTTGAACCCCAATGAACTCCAAATCCAAGTGACTGTAATGCTGCTATGACCTGGAGGTTAACGAGTATTTAAATTCCAAACAGCCAGGGAGGCACCCTGTGTTTTCCAGAAAAGAACTGAGGAAGTATACAGTCGGAAAGCACAAACTCCAAATGGGGTGTGCTGGGAAGGCGCAGAGGTCAGGGCATTCGCTGCTAACGGACGGTTCATGGTTCAAACCCAGCAGCTGCTCCTCAAGAGGAAACACAGCAGTCTGCTCTGGGAAGATTCCTAAGACTCCCTGCCAGCAAATCGATTCCCACCCAGGCTGCCCCTATATAGGGCATTCTGGGACTGTGAGTCTTTATGGGAGTAGAGGGCATCAACTTTCTCCCCAGGAATGAACCACCAACCTTGAGGTTAAAAACCCACCCAACAGCATCACAAAGGTCTTGGAAACCCTGTGGGGCAGTTCTGCTCTGTCCTATAGGGTCGCTGTGAGTTGGAATTGACTTGTCACCCACAAGAGGTCAGGAGCGTTCTGGGGAGGGGGCTGTGCCGGGGCCTGGTGTGAGGAGTCTCTATGAGCCCCACTGTAGGACCGTTGTCTTCTAGGTGTGTTGGGGTGGGGAGACCGAGGTTTGCCACCTCTGTGATCCAGGACTCTCTCCCTCGTCCGCAGATTCCCATACCAAGTGTGCCTACGTTCCAGTCTTCTACGCCCATCCCCGAGCGCCTGGAGGCCGTGCAGCGCTACATCAGGGAGCTGCAGTATCCTCCTCGAGGGCCCCAGCTCCAGGGGTCGCTCTGGGGAAGGCAGGCTCTGCCCAGGTCCTTCTGGGAATCCCAGGGATGTGTCTAAGGGAGTGGTTCTCGACCTTCCTCATGCCATGATCCTTTACTACAGTTCCTCATGTGGTGGTGACCCCCAACCGTAACATTATTTTGGTTGCTACTTCATAACTGGAATTTTGCTACTGTTATGAATTGGGCGACCCCTGTGAAAGGGTTGTTTGACCCCCAAAGGGGTCGCG